ACAACTTCCCAAAATCTAGAACTCCTTGATCTGAGACCTCTAATAAGTAGCATTTCTCAAAAAAATAGACGATAACGACCCTATTCCGAAGCCACAAATTGCCTTATAGAGGTAGTATGCAACATTTTATGCGTGTATGTAAAAGTAGTTGGACATCCTCGTTGGCCTCGTGGGTCTCGGGTTCGATTCCCGGGTCGGGCAACACGGTTTATGTATTACAAAGTTTAAAAAAAAAACTCAGTAGTAGCATGGAGTCTGGAATTGTGCAATAGGCTCACCCCCTATTACATGGGACTTATAACATAAATAGTGAAAAGTGGGCGTTACATTGTAAAGTGGTATTAAGCGCCGTAATGTAAAGGTGTACCTTTGACGACCCCTTCGGGAACAAAAGGCGTAATGTTATGGTATGTTATAAAAGTGGTATTTGTATGTAGAGGTATAGCTGACTGCGTAGTTACTCATAGGATCGATGATATAATTGCTCAGCTGCCAGTGCCATCGTAATGGCTACTGCCTCGAATAAGGTCAGTAGGTGACAACAGTGTCAATTCCTATATGCGTTTTTTATTTTTTTCCTATCTATTGAATAAACAAACTTGTGTAGAGGTACTGCGTGGTATGATACCTTCTCTGGATAATTGCAATTGTCTACTGCATTCTTAACTAGTGTTCTTTTTTTTAATATTTCTTTCATTATCATCATCATTCGCATTAGTCCTATTCCTGCTGCCTTTTAGGATAGAAAATTTGATTTCTCTTAGAAATTTTGGCTAAGAGTGGGAGAGCTATGCTTCGGCACGAATAGCCTTTTTTTGAGAGGGGAAAATCATCCAATGATTTCTCCCGCCTAGGTGAGGCGGGAGGGAGTGTCAGACTCTTACTGACTAAAAACCACTCCGTTCCTACTCCTACTCTTCGAGCCGGAGCCCCGGCAACCTGTTAGGCCTTCCGAGGCTCCGTATCGGGCATCAGCCCTACTGAGCCCCATCTATGGTGATCTAATGGCTCTTTGAGGCGCGCGCGGAACGCAACGCACCGTACGCACGGGTCTGGTTCTGGTCGGGCGGCGAGCTACCCTAGCGTACGGTGGCCTACGGCACCTACGGTGGCCGGAGATCGTCACGCGATCCCCGAGGCCCGGAGAGTCTCCCATGAGAACTAAAACTACTACTACTGTTATTTAGTAGTAGTTTTAAGAGCGCCTTATTAAAAAATGCTATATTTAGCGTCAGTGCTACTGATTGCTATTATAAAATGATGAGGCAAGGTTTACTGTTGCTTTAAATTTCCGAAGCTAGATACCACCTTCAATTTAACAGTCAGATTGCAATTGATTATCAAAAGATCAAAATTATAACACTTTTTGGTTTCTATTAATCCAACATGACATGACAACATCACGTCTTTTATGCCAAAGGGGTAGGCAGAGGTGTACATTGCAGTACTTAACGTCACTGTACAATGTAACACTCACTTCACTATTTATGTTATGAAACCCATATAATTGGGGGTGAGTTTATTTATTAATTCATCTTTACCTATCGTTGCGCAGCCCAACATTTGAAAATTTCCCGATTTATAAGAAAAAATTACGCTCTACATAAAGACTTGGTGGTTTTCCTAGATTTGAAATCATAGTACCAAATAATCAAGTCAATCTGAATACAGAAATACAAATGGTATCGAAATAAGGTAGGTATCATAACTTCAATAATTGACTTGTGCTAATTTTGAAAGGTATAGTGTCTGCTATCTGATGCAAAAAAATAATGTCACCATTTTAAATCTTAAACAAGCAAACAACTGATGATGTGATGACTAAACTGGGCCTCAAGTTTGTTAATTACCGACTTCAAAAAAAGGAGGCGGTACTATGTTCGGCTGATTGTTTTTTTTTTGTTTGTTCGCGCAGTACTCCGTCATTTGTGAACCGATTTCCAAAATTCTTGTTTTGTTTGAAAGGGTATACTCCTGAGATGGTCCCATTTCCATGAGGTCAGGATCTGATGATGGGAACCAAGGGAAACCGAGGGGAACTTTCGAAAATTCTATGGGCGAGTAGTGCGTCTATAATGTTTTTCAATTACGATTTTTAAACACTACAATTTGATAAGGGTCTGGAGTCGACCTGATGATGGAGCCGACAGACAGTCGAGGGAACTCCTCAGCGGTTTATATTTACTACCTTGTGTTTGGGCTTGATTAATTTGTATTGATGAGGACTGTACACCTAGATAGAGTGGGGCTGTCATTAAGGGTCTGATGATGAAGAAGTGTAATTGTTAAGGGAACTCCTCAACGGTATATTATAACTACCTTGTGTTTGGGCTTGTTTAATTTGTATTGATTAGAACTTTGCACCTATGTAGATTATAAGTAACAAAACGGGTATATGTAACTTTACACTGAAAATGATAAAATAATTAAATAAATCTTCGGCTCTCGGCTTCGGCTCTCTGTCTCTCTCTCTCTCTCTCTCTCTCTCTGCCTTAGTCTCTGCCTACCCCCATGGGAGACAGGCGTGAAGTTATGTATGTATGTATGTATGTAATTAAATAAAAACTGCGTTTAAAAAACCGACTTCAAAAACCATAAATTAATAACAAACAAAAAGTCAAAACTAAAAAGCAAAAAATAACTATTGTACATACACAGAAATAAATATTACTGATAGGTTACCTACCCACTGATAGGTTAGAAGTCGGTGCCATAAGCTCATATCATAATGATATAACTTAATGTCCACAAAATTGTGAATTAGGTATCTATTAAGGTTTAATGAATAATTTTGTATTGAACTTATGGCACCAACTTCTTACCTATCAGTATCTAATATTTATTTTTATGTATGTACAATCGTTATTTTTTGCTTTTTACTTTTGACTTTTTGTTTGTTATTAATTTATGGTTTTTTAAAGTCGGTTTTTTATTTTATGATTGTAGGCAATCCAACACGATCGCATTGTTATTTGACAAAAAGTTCCTAATCTTATAGTCGGTCATTGATCTGTCAATGGTGTAGTAATGGAATTGTAGTAGAATGACAAAGAAAAATAGGATAGTAAAAAAAAAAGAAAAAAACCTAACCTAACGCATTAAATAGTGTAGTTAGCTTCAAGTTTTAGAGAAAGTAATAGGTACATTTTTAACACATCTACTTCAATGTTATAATTTTTTTAAATTTATGAAGTAATTTGTCGTGATGTCATAATAAAATTGCGAAAATTAGCATATATAGGTACTTCTTACTTTGTTATTAAAAATATATTTTTTTTTGAAATGAATAATTTTTAACAATGCAAGCGTTGTTCCACTCTGTTTTTCTGTGCTGCCGTAGTATTATTCCTCTCGAGCTAGCCTATTCATGCCAAAGCATGCCTTTTCAACATACCTAGTCAATTCGAATCATGATAATGGTCTTTAAGGAATAGTATTTAAATTAACGGTAGGGACCCATAGTGTTACACGAAAACTAGTTAAGTACTCATTAAGATTCACAAGGTTGAATTTGACAAATTGTCAAATTAATGTTTTGCCTCTTTATACACGCCTGTACTTAAATCCGCCATTAATGTCCATCAATTTGTACTTCGAACGTTTTTAAATAAATTATTCGATTTTTTCAGTTCTTAGGTACTTCGATGTCTATGATCAGTATTTAGGGATCCCTATAGGGGCGTGTTGATATTTTACATAATGATAATATATATAATTCTAATTGTAGAATAGAGAAATTATCTAGCACAATGCTATTAACCGAATGAAATACAAAAACAAATATAATGTCTATATTTAGAGTATCATCATCTACCGGGAATTTTCTGTACTCATACGTTTCAGTGTAACTTGGAAAATTTCACCCTCCGCTCACTTTCACAGTTCAAGACATAGATGGCGGTACTAGTCTTAAAATAAAATATGGTGCCCTTATGTATAAATCAATATAAATGTTTAAAAAAATACGAAAACAGCTGGTCGATAATACTATGTAACTCTGAACTAAAAAGTCCTATGCTATTTTTCTTTAATTTTAGTTGTAAATAATTTAGTTTTTATTTATTTTAGCCCTAGTTATTTATTATTTAGTTTATATCCTATATATAGATTAGTTATAATTGAGTTTGTATATTGAAAGTTGATAAAAATAAACTTATCATTTACTCTGAACTTTTTTAAAATTTGAGTTATACCTACCAGAAAAATAAAATTGCTGTAATTTTGTTTATTTTACATGAAAAATATTGACGTGAACTTTTAAAAAATCTTTGAATACTGCGTGCAATTTGTCCATTCAAGAATAGAGAAGTGGAATGATCAAGATGCTGTTCACTTCTTAGGGCATTTCATAGCAAAATAATTGCCATCGAAGATTTAATACTACTGTACAATAAATCAAAACTCATGTTCCAGTCAAGACATGTCATTTTTGATGTAATTTACATCTCATTAATGAGCTACTGATGTGGTATTGAAGAAAAAAAACCAAGGACTTCGTAAAAAGCCCTTACAAGAATTAAAAATTGTCAATGATAAATATTACAATGCCCTTTTACGGTTCAATTATCATGTAAGATTAAAACATCAGTTACTATAAATTATTTTGCAACGTAATGTATCAGTTTAGTACTGTAAATGATAAAGTGCGGAGTTGAAGATTTTTATTCAATACACTATTTTCAAATTGTTTTTACGATTAAATGCATAGATAAGTGTATTTTTTCTTTGTGACAGTTCAGCTTGCCCATTGTGAAAAAAAAAATATTGATGCTAATGAATGGCTTGCTATTTCTTGGGCCAATTATAACAATCTGCCTTATATCTGTATCAATACTTTGTTTTTTTTTTAAATACATTATTCTATTCTATTCATTAGATTTTCTACAACTTTTCATTAGTATTACATTTGAACTGAGCGACATTCAATGTGTGTCAGTCTCATAAATTATACAATTATTGTATAATAATTAATTGTTGTATTTTGGGCATCATAATTCAAAATGTCAAAGGGCAATTGTTCAAATGTGGCTTCGTTTTACTCCGGGAAATCTGTGTTTATAACTGGTGGTACTGGATTTGTTGGTAAGGTAAGAAACTTTAAAAGGCTATACTTGAAAAATTGTCTTTTATACAACCTTTATAATTATATAAAATGTATAATATAGAGGAAAACATTAACCTAAAACACACAATTTTATAAAAGTTCTTATACAATTAATATATTCAAATGTCAATTCAATTCAAATTGACATATGTATGTTAATGTGTTTTCAATTACCAAATTGTAAAAAAAAGATGTTGTCAAAAAAGATGTTAATTCACATAAAGCAAAAAATTGCCATAAATATCAGGAATACTATTAGAAAATATATCAAATTATAATTTATCGAAAATGAATATCGATACAACGATATATCAAAGTCAAAGTCAAAGTGTACAAATGTATAGTGATTTGAAAAGTTGAAAAAGTTGTTATCGTCTTAATATACACACGATTTTCACCTCTTCAAATAATTGTAAGAACAATTTTTAAGCCAATTTAATATTAAAATACATTAGCAAATACAATGCAACTCAAGAGATCATCAGTGTCGTAATAATAAATATCATTACAGACTTTAAAAGCACGTAGTTTCATTCTAAATAGTATTCAAAGCAGCCTGTTTAATAATTTCAGACTTTAATAGAAAAGTTGCTGTACAGCTGCAGCGGGATTGACAAAATTTATGTCCTAGTACGTGATAAGTATGGGAAACAAGCCAGTGAACGACTCGCTCGTATTACCAGCACGCCAGTAAGTATAGGTTTTGAATATGAATTTAAAACTATAAAGAGCATATAGTTTGGGCGGTTATTATGAGTTTCAACTCCCTTCTAATTTGATTCTGACTACCTCTGGACTTGACTGTACTCGCTTTTTTAGACTTTGTATGAAACTTTTTGGTAAATATTTTTATTTTTTAGTATTAGTAGGTTTTTATAACATAAGCCGGTCAAACAGCAGACGGATAGTAAGCAATCGGTGTCGCCCATGGATACCTGAGGCGTTACTAGTGCGTTACCGGCCTTTTGGGCATAAGGAATTTGAGGATTGTTGGGAATTGAAGGATTGGAGAAGGTAGTGGATTAATTGGGCCTCCGGTAACTTCACTTACACAACGAAATACAACGCAAGCGTTGTTTCACATCGGTTTTTGGTGAGGCCGTGGTATCACTCCGGTCGGGCCAACTCGTTCGTAAACCATAGCTCTCACACAAAAATGCTTTGAAATAATAAATACTCAACAATTCAATTACTACCTATACTTGAGTAGTGAGTGGTAATTACAACTCCATAATATATTATTTAATAATTAATTATAATAGGAGTTAATTTTGTTATAGGTAAGTTAGTCATCTGGAATATTGACAGTATCAAATAATAATTTACAAAAATAAAAATAATATCGTTTAAGAACGTTGAGTAATTACTATACAGGTGCAATTTTCAGTTTAATACCAATTCAATTACTGAATTCAAATAATCAACACAAAAAGTACTAAAACGTACAATATCATATTGTATACACTACTACTATACTCGTAGTTGAATTTTATTTTATTTTATTCAATATTTCATTACTTTAAAAGTATTTTATTATAGGCAACAAGGCTTTATAACAACAAGGTTATATATTAAAACATCAAAGTTTAATTTTTTAGGCTTTTGATAGAATAAAAACAAGTCGAAATGAGGACTTGAAAAAGATCGTGGTCATCAGCGGCGACATTACGCGTGAAAATCTCGGATTACACGAAAATGTTTTAAAGGCATTGGAGAATGAGGTAAATAAACATTTAATATTTTTAATGTAATAACTACGTGACGGACATTTTGTTTCTTATGTCTAAGTTTATTTTAATGCACGTTAAACGCCATGGGGGTCACCGGTGACCGACGTTAGAGGAGGGTTTACCTTCAACAGTTTTTTATAGGCAAAGGCTTAATTATACTAATTTTATCAATCAAATGTGAAATATAAAAAAAAGCAATAACCCTAACTACCCACAAAACGTCTTTATTTCATTTTACCATGCAAAATGAGGCGCCCACGGTCTTATATAGGCTTGCTACTATCACTTGTCATCCCCTCCATAATGACGTTTCGTCACTATTCCTCTAACACTAACTTATTTTAATATCGAATTAAGTCTAATTGTTAGTTTTACACGATAGTGATTTACGAACAAAAAGGTTCGATTACCTGGATAATTTATGATACCACTTACATTCTTATATCTAAGGAGAGTGCGTTACAAAAGGATATACACTATATATACAAGTCTACTCGTATTTATTTCTGTATTATTTCAGGTGTCAATTGTATTCCATTTGGCAGCAACAGTTGCTTTCAGATTACCACTAAAAGATGCAATGAGAATCAATGTAAATGGAACGGAAAATGTCATTGAATTGTGTCGTCGCATGATAAAGTTGCAGGTGAAATTGTTTTATTTCCTATTTATACGATAAACAACCTGGATATTAGTATTTTTAGCACAACAGTGTATGACGGTAGTGTTTTTTAACCTGTATCTATGTTTTACATAACATAGCACAGCTTGGAATATCACGGCACGGCACGTCACGGCAGGGCATGACATGGGATGGCACGGCTTAGCATGGAATGGTTTTGCATGACATAGCGTGGCATGGGATGGCACGACATGGCATGGCATAGCATAGCATAGTATAGTATAGCATAGCATTGCATAGCATAGCATAGCATAGCATAGCATAACATTGCATAGCATAGTAAAGGATAGCATAGCATAACATTGCATAGCATAGTAATGGATAGCTCAGAATAGCATAGTATGACATAACATTACATAGCATAGTGTAGCATAACATAGTATAGCATAGAATAGCATAGCATAGTGTAGCATAACATAGCATAGCATAGAATAGCATAGCATAGCATAGAATAGCATAGCATAGTGTAGCATAACATAGCATAGCATAGAATAGCATAGCGCATAGCATAGCATAGCATAGCATAGCATAGCATAGCAGAGCATAGCATAGCTTAGCTTAGCATAGCGTAGCACAGCGTAGCACAGCGTAGCATAGCATAGCATAGCATAGCATAGCATAGCATAGCATAGCATAGCATAGCATAGCATAGCATAGCATAGCATAGCATAGCATAGCATAGCATAGCATAGCATAGAATAGAATAGCATAGCGTAGCATAGCACAGCACAGCATAGCATAGCATAGCATGGCGTAGCATGACTTTGCATAGAGTAGCATGCCATAGCGTAGCATGGCATAGTGTTGCATGGCAAATTTAGCTTAGCATAGCACAGCATAACATAGCATAGCATAGTATGGCATAACGGAGCATGGCATAGTTTATCATGGAATAGCATAGAATAACATAACATAGCGTAGCAGGGCATAGCGTAGCATAGCATAACACTGTACAGCGTAGCATGGCATTGCATAACTTAGAATAACATAGCATAGCATGACATACCGCAGCTTAGCATAACATAGCATAGATTAGCATAGCCTAGGATGGCATAACATAGCATAGCATGGTACAGCGTAGCATGGCGTAGCATAACTTAGCATGGCATGGAATGGCATATCGCAGCGTAACATGACATAGCTTATCATAGCATATCATGGCACGGCATGGTCTAGCTTAGCATAGCATAGTATCATGGCATGGCACGGCACAACACGGCATGGTACAGCACTGGATGACATGGCATGTAATAGCATAGCATAGCATGGCAAGGCATGGTATGGCATAGCATAGCATTACGCCTTTTATCCCCGTAAGGGTAGGCAGGCAATAGGCACTTTTCACTATTTATGAGAATGTGTAATAGGGAGTGAGCCATGCCATAGTTGTCATAAACTGGGCACAATTCCAAACTACATGCTATTACTGACATTTTAAAAAAAAGACAGTATACTTAACAATTGTTTAATTGGAACAAAATCGTTGCTTATTTTTTTTTCTTATTTGTTTCTTATTTGGTTTTCTGTGAGGCCGTGGTATCACTACAGTCGAGCCGGCCCATGCGTGCCGAAGCATGGCTCTCTTACACTTAAATCCATCTTCTTTTATATCCATCTTATAATCGAAACTAGAAATGCAATATGATTACTGTGAACCACATCAATTTTGTTCCTCAGGCCTTTGTTCACGTTTCGACAGCATTCACGAACTCAGATCGTACGGAAATAAACGAAGTGGTGTATCCAATGCCAATCAATTTGGAAGAAGCGAGACATGTTGCCGATAGGTACTCACATGACGACGTGATCGTTTGTGCGTTTATGGGTAAGTTACTATTGGAATTTCTAATTGGAATTTCAACTGAATTTCTGTTTTATATTCCAACGGTATTCCATTATTCACAGAATATATTTGTATGATTGATTTACACAGTTTTGATTGTTAAAAAAATCTTCTTACTGTGGCTTTCGTTTTACTTATAATATGCCTAATCAAGGCGATATTTGTTTTGATAATAAACGTTAACGTTTCCATTAATGTGAAATTAGTATTTCTAAATTATTTCATCAGTTTACCGTCTGATATCTTAAGAAAATCAATGCCTATCTGCCACTACTGAATGAAAATCTATTATATTAAAATTAATTCCAGGAAGGAAGCCTAATACGTACACTTTCTCAAAAGCTTTTGCCGAACAACTAGTTCTGAAGCAGTGCGAAGACCTACCGGCTGCCATCGTTAGACCGTCTATAGGTACAGAGGGCGTAGTACAAATTTGTTTAACGTTTAAAGTAATCAAAACGAGTACGCATCTGCGCTCTGATTGGCCGGCTTCATTGTTTAGGGAACAGAGAGTATAGTTCCCTAAGATAGGAAAATGAGGATCTTCAGACCAAGCGAGGTGATCGTGCCTGGCGGGCTTTCTGCCCAACAGTTGTTCGTTGGGATTTTCTATCCATGTTTATTCGCTTGTAAACTTTGCATGTGCGATGTAGGATTCTTGTGACGTCATCCGTTGATTTGTGACGTGACATGTGTCTTTATTTTATTTTTATTTTTTATTACAGAAAACTCAACAGCTTATTTATTAAATGCTACATCTATAATAATGACAAGGCATGGAAACTTAAGCCAATAACAGAGTTTTTCAGCATGCGTCAGGTAAAAGTAGGAGAGTGAACAATATAAAATAAAATTAAACAATCAAGAAAAATTTATATAAAGCAATAATTAAGAAAAATAATAATGCTATAAGAGTCGCCACAATTGAATCCTCCAATCAGAGCAGAATCATTTTGATTACTTTAAATGTTAAACAAATTCGTACTAAGCCCTATTTCTAGATAGATAACATTTTCTAAGAAACTCTTGATATTATTTTGAGAGCATGTTCTTAACAATATTATTATTACGGAAGTATACTATGAAACATTTCTAAGAATTTTTGAGGCAGGATTTAATAGGTACGGTGTGTACAACGCGCTTGTATTTCATGCAGACAAGCTCAGGTGTTTAGTGCACTGGTTTAGCTGCCATATTTGTTATGAAAGTTGGTGTAGCCAACAATTTTGTAATACGGAAACTACATAGTTTTAAACTAATTGAGACTATTTATGTCCCGCGTCCTTAAATAAAGTAAAGCTACATAAACAGGTTAAGAGTTTCACAGAATATTAATGCACCAGTTTGGTAGTCGCAGTTAACTTTTCAAATTTATGGGTAATTATTTTTAAAACTATCAAAAATTGGTTTCAACCTTTCCCCAGTTCCGAATTAGGATTCTATGTATTGCTATATATTGTATATAATAAATGCTATGTATTGCTATATATTGTTTAAATGTAAAACCCCAAAATCTATAGCAATATATTTATAACAAGCAGGGCTTCGGCACGGCTCTAACCCATCAATGTCATTGTCATTTAAATATGAACTGTAAATCGTATGTTGTTTGATATATTTCATAAAGTCAATATAAGAAAGCTGTAACCGCGCCGCCCGCGCGACGTCGTCGTCGGCGCGTTTTACACCTTTTCGTATTGTTTTCAAAGCCAAAAATGCCGTGCCGGATCCATGATTGAGTAGTCTCATTAATACAAAATTATAGTGTTTTTTTTTTAGTTCCATTTATTTTATGATTTTATTTCCAGTGATGTCTTCCATCAAAGAACCTTGCCCTGGTTGGATAGACACGTGGAACGGCGCCACAGGGTTATTCGTCGGTATGCCAGCGGGTGTGTTACGAGTTGTACTGGGTAGAGGAAGCAATGTCACAGATTTAGTACCTGTTGATATTGTCACAAACCTCATTGTTGTGGCCGCTACAGAGTGTCAGAAGTAAGTATCATAGATTTATTGCTATATTTTTACGAGATTATTTTATTTTATTTAAAAATCCGTAACTGATTTAAATGTCAAACACCAAGCGGTCACCGGTGACCGCGACCTATTGTTTTTTAATTGTGTCTATAAAACCGGTACTCGACGAGTTAAATATTGGTAATTATTTTAGGAATAATCGGTGTTTATTTATTTTCTCAATTTTAATTAATTTATTCAAAGGCGTCCTGCGTGACGTTGCAACCACAGATAACAAAATCATAGTCTAGGTTGTGTTTTTTTTTAAACCCGTGTTACATTTATTATTTTGTTTAGAGTACTTAATGTCAAATGTTACTTCATAATTTTCCCATACCATACTTTATTTTACAGGTGAAGTACTGTAATATACAATAAATACAAAGAAAAGAACAGTTACTAATCATATTAATTCTTTATTCCTCGATTTTCTAAAAACTGTAGATGAAAAGGAAAAAAAAAGAAAACTCAACGAGAACATAGATAATTATAAAAGATGAAACATTTTCCCTTAAAAAAATTAGAAGCATTTGTATTAATTTTTCAAATTTTTTCCTTTATTTTTTTTCTGTATTCCTTATTTTAATTTTAGTTGTAAACACTTTAGTTTTTATTAGCTCTAGTTATTTATTATTTAGTGTACAAGTATATACATTTGTTTTGTTTTATTGCATTTTTAATGAATATAATATTTTTCTGTACCTTATAATGTATATAGTATTACAACTAATGATGACTGCACGGTTGGTGCGGTGGCTGGGCAACTGGCTGACCCGCAACGTGTCGCGGGTTCGATTCCCGCACGGAACAATTCTTTGTGTGATCCACAGATTGTTGTTCCGGATCTGGGTGTCATGTGTATGTGAACTTGTATGTTTGTAAACACACCCAAGACACAGGAGACAATCCTAATGTGGAGCAACGTTTAAATAAAAAAAAATAATGATTGTATTTTCAGGTCAAAAGAAATTAAAGTATACAACTGCTGTACTGGACCATCGAATCCTATCACTTGTGATGAAGCGAGCACCATCAGCAGAAAAGTGGCTCTTAAATACTCTTTAAGTAAGTTTGTATTTACGTCTTAGTCATCAACAGCGTATGAGCAAAGCCTCTTCTCACACTGAGAAGGTTTGAGCATGAATCATCACGTTTGCTCAATGCGGGTTGGGGATTACAAACTTATAGTTAGAAATTATAAGCCTAGGTTTCGTCACGATGTATTCCTTCACCGTTTATCAGTGGTGTCATACATATAACTGGGAAAAAGTCACATTGGTACTTGCCGTTGGTAGGTTTCGAACCGGCACTCTCATGCATGAGAAGCGGGCGTCTTAAATCTTGAAAAAGACTCTTCTTTATATTTAAAACCTGATTCAGTGGAATATGTAGAAGATAACTTGTTCGGATTAATTATTGTATCTGTCCATTTAATTTCTTGTGTTAATTTATTATATGAAGTCATCTCAGGGTCTATTTCTGGCTGACCCACAGTCAGATGTATGCTATACTTACCATTTAGACAGGATTCACAACGATTCACTATGCAAAATCTTCTTTTTAACCGACTTCAAAAAAAGGAGGAGGTTCTCAATTCGACCGTATATATGCTTTTTTTATCAGTTACGTTCGGAGTCCCATATAACAAGGAGTGAGTTGCATATTATATACATGTGTCACAATTAAAAACTTTGTGTTATTATTGAAAAAAGACATACAATTGTACTTTATACGAACTAGGAATCAGACCAGAGACCCTTTGCTAGATAGTCAAAATTGTGGTCGAGGTAAATAGTAAAATGTCGTAATTTACAAAAAAAATAATCTTTTATAACGTGTTTGATAATTATTCTAAATTTTCTCTGAAAATAAGCCAATTATTGATATAATCATATTTTCAGACGAGCTGCCTTGGCCTTTCCTCAAATTCACACCAAGCGTGTTTCTATACACTTTAATAACGTTTCTTCTACAAATTGTACCGGCATACCTGATTGATTTATGGTGTATATTAACTGGAAGGAAAGCTACGTAAGTGAACCTTTTCTTCTTAAATCTTTGTTACGAAATATGTGGAATTCTTTTTCTTGTTTTTGGTTTGTTTTATTGAAGCTCAAGTTTCTACCTAGGCAGCCTTTAAGTTTTTATTACGTAAGTTCTATGAAATTAGTAATATAACTTAACATAATATCGCGTCTTTTATCCCCGAAGAGGCAGGCAGAGGTGCGCATTACGGCACTTAATGCCACTATACAATGTAACACCCACTTTTAACTATTTATGTTCTGAGTCCCATGATTACAAGGGGATGAGCCTATTGCCATATACCGGACACAATTCCAAACGCTGTGCTACTACTGAGATTTTTTTAAAACCCAACTAATACTTTGCCCGACCCGGGAATTAAACCCGAGACCCCTTGCCCGGCAGTCGCACTTGCGACCACTCGGCTAACGAAGCAGTTTGAAATTAGTACTTATAAATTAATCATGAAAATATCTGCGATAATGTATTGCAAAATTTATGTTTAGTAAGGATGTCTGGCTACATGAGTCATCATCGACATATTACTATTATGTGTACAAACGAACTATCAGCTCATAAAAACGATTTAGTAGTGTATCTTTTAACACTTCCATCATTAGGCTTAGTTTGTAGTCATCACAATAATGTTCCTTTTCATATGAAATAATATGATCGATCCTTTTAATATCATAATGAAATGGTACCTACTACTCTATCTTTCTTTTACAGACAAATAAAACTACAAAGGAGATTAAAGAAAGTGGTTGATGCTGTTAAATTCTTCTTGTTAAATGAATGGAAGTTTTCTGACGACAATATTAGAAACCTCCTAAATACAATGTCGCCAGTGGACAAAGAAATATTTAATTTCGACGTCAAAACTATTAATTGGGAGTCGTGCATCGAAGATTATATTTTAGGAGCGCGAAAATATTTATTGAAATCTGAAAAATAAAGGGAAAATGATTGAGGTTAATTGTAACTTTTGTGAAGCATATTATAATATATTACCTAGGTTCTATAGTTTATTCCCAAAGTTATAGACGAGGTTATCCGACTGTACTTTTTTATTCAATTTTGAGTTGAACGTCACTACACTGCGTCGCTTGCCGAGCATGTTCCTTAATACTTACTTGTGGCCCCTAGCTGGGCTTGAAACCAGTCGAACAACGTCCTTGAAATAATAATTATGTGAATAAGCTGTTATTAGATACGTTATTGTAACTATTTTTTGTATATTGAATAAAAATAGATTTATGTAATAACGAATTGTATTACTCTAGAATTTTAAGAAGAAATACACATATATTATTTTTATAAGTAATTATTGTTGTACTCTTTAATTTATCGTTGTTACTCGTTGTATTGCATATTTGTGTATGAAGAAAAAGTAATAAAAACTGTGTGTTCATATCTAAGTTTCAGATTGAATCTTCCTTGTCAAATGTTACCTCCATTTAGCATAATTGTAACATTTATAAACCGAAACACTCCTTCTAATTTACATTTGAGTACTGTTAATTGGTATTAAAGAAATACAAACCATAGAAGTTATACAAACCACAAACCAGACTGAACTTGAGAAGCATCAGCTAAAAATATCCTCAAATGTACTTAATACTTACTGAAGTATGATCCAAAAATAAACAGTGTAAATTCCGAGGCAAACGGCTTCCATCTTTTTAGAGCGCTGCTTAAAATCCGCAGCGAAATCTTCATCTCTTTACCGCTCCAATTCGATAAACATAAGCCTCGCTTTAAAAACGCCAAGCGAAACCACAGGATGTCACAATACTCTCGTTTATATTGATCTCGGCTTGCCAACTAACGAAGCGCAATGCTCACTAAATCATAGGATTATACGCACTATCTCACTCATGCAGGTAACACAGTTAAAATAAATGAAGGTTTAGTACCAACTGGAGGGTAGTTTGTGCTATGAGTTCTATTGTTTGATGGGATGACAGTTTTATGTGTGTCTATCTAGTAGGTACGTCTATGTTATGGTTGGAAGTGAAATTATAACATCCTGTGTTATTAGTTTGGTGTAGTAAAGGTGTCAGCGGTTAATGGAGCTTAGATTTAGTTTCTTTGGGCGCTACGTTGGCTTATGCGGTATCTTCTGTCGCGGACAACCTAACGGGTAACTGCGGCTCCGGCTCGACGTGCAGGAGAAGGAACGGTGTGGTTTTTAGTCAGTAAGAGTCTGACACTCCCTCCTGCGTCACCCAGGTGGGAGAAGCCATTCGATGATTTTCCCCACTTAAAAAAATACGGTATCTTCTTTAAGTGATAAAGTTGAAAATAGAATGTTCTTAATTTATCAAACAGTGTAACTCAGCTTCGATTATATTATGATACGTGAATAAGTAGTACTCATTCATAAAAGCTGATCGAAAACTCGTAGGCGGTGCTCGACGTAGTACAGTGAACACGTACCAAGACCAAGACAGTCGAATTTCCTTTGAAAATGTTTAAAAATTCAGTGACAACCAAATGTCACTGCTATATACATCCTTAGCTGCGGCTGCGTTCCGCTATTGGTTGTCAAATTCCATAATCCTATCGATGATTTTAGAGAACCACCAGGGTTGTCAAAGAATTTTCTTGAACGTTTATATTGGAACCACGTTCATTTTACTTTAACGTTCTATTTGACATGCCCCTATCTCGTTGCTATGCAGTTCTCGTATCTGTCGTATTGAGGTTTGTAAGCACATACAGTTTAGTCATATAAGGGTCTTTGAATTCTATGCATCTACAATCCAACATGTATGGTCGTATATTGTTTTACTTTATTTATAAAATATGCATTATTAATTTCAAAAAGATGAGGACGGCTTTTGAAGTTATAACTTGAACTGACTGAATGTCAATGGTTCGCTGGTTATTTTCTTCATATTATTATAATTTGCGATGTTATTATAAGCGATGTGCTCAAACTCTGGGTCAGTTTAAAGGGCGTGTGAAGGAACACTACCTGTCACTGTAGATATGCTTTTGTCCTTTCATTATGCATAAACACACCACACACACACACCACACACACACACCTACACGTAACTACATAGTATTGCCCGTTTTTATCTTTTATGTGTTATATGTAAGTAGTCTGTAAGTTTCATTGATTGTTTAATTTGTTTTTTATTGTTTTTCTTCTATTTTGGTTTTCTTTTATTGTGCATCTACCACCCATTCCCAGATTCTTTTCAAAAATTCCATCCAAAGGTTGTCTGGAAGAAATCACCGCGTGTGATAAGACCGCCCATTGTACTCAAATTAATATTGCAATGTCTACAATTTTTTTTCTGTGTGTGCAATAAAGTATAAATAAATAAATAATTATGGTGCTCCATTACAGATCTGTAGGTATTTCATATAATTAACCAATTTTCAAAACGGTTCTAACTATTTTGTAATATAAATAATACGTTTAAAGTGTTTTGGCCTTCTCAATATAATTGTGTGTCTATTAACTAATTAACAACATATACTTAAACAACCCTTTAAAAGTCGGCACTTCTTGTGCAAAGAACCAGACCACAACTAAAGCTGGTTAAAGGACCAATATTTTAGTCATTTATCCTTTTACCAGCCCTTTGAATCCAGTGGAAGGTTAGGTAAATAATGTAGGTCGATTCATTCATACAACTGACCTCTCATGTCAAGTACCATGGTAATTAGGGATTATGTCAAGCGGTGAACTGAAATCACGATCTTTCATGCATGGCTGGCTTTTTGTATGAGATAATCTACACAAATTGGCAATTTCGATATTATTAGGGACGTTAGGAGCGTTATTGTGTGTGGATTACTGTGGATATTAGATTCATAATGACGATCTTATCTAATGTAATGTTGGTTAGCTTATTAAAATTAGGTACCTATGGGATGGTTTATTAGTCGATTTTTATAGTTTAGTTTAGTTTAGTACATTATGCAGTTAATTCATTCCTTTGTTCTAGAACATGTAACATGTAAATGTTAGCCGTATTCTATCTATTGGAAGCAAAATATAATAATTTATATAATAGAATAATTTATATATCACGAAATAGTTAGTTGACTGCGTCATTAGCCATGTGGTCGCAAGTGCGACTGCCGGCAAGGGGTCTCGGGTTCGATTCCTGAGTCGGGCAAAGTATTACTAAGTTTAATAAAAATCTTAGTAGTAGCACGGAGTCTAAAAATGTGCCCGGTATATGGCTATAGGCTTACCCCCTATTACATGGGACTCATGTCATAAATTAACTGAAAAGTGGGTGTTACATTGTACAGTGGCATTAAGTGTCGTAATGTGCATCTCTGCCTACCCCTTCGGGGATAAAATGTATTAATACAATGATAGTAAAAGCAACCTATCATTAGGCTTCTGATTTAGAGCAATAGCTAGGCAAAAGGCTCGCTCGATTTTGCAATGGAATTACCTATTGACATAATTGGCATAACGTACTTTACAGTGGAGGGATTGAATGAACAGTTAAATCTGGTTTTAGCTTTCATTACGTTTTTGACTGACTGTCTGAATAGGATACATCAACAGCCTGTAAGTGGCCCCTGCAGCCTGTAAGAGGTTACCCTTGGGCGGCGAGGATTAGTTACCATCAGGTGATACGTCTGCTCGTTTGTCGTCTTATCCCATAAAAAAGGTTATAGTCTAGCAGTGCACTGTAATCGTAAAACATGTTAACTGTAAGTAATTCGAAATTCGATCGTATTGCGTTCTTTTTTTTAACGGTGATACATTAGCTTAATGAATAGTTCCATTCAGCCTGCATTACACACCCCTCAGAGATAAACTAATGGGTTTTCCTCTTTCACGGAAACTGACCAATTTATTTTCTAAAAATACACTCACCTATTTCAAAATACTGTTTGTTGAACATACATCAAAGTTCGTTCGTACCTTTTATCTGTAGGTGTATTATAGAATTCCTTATTGTTTGTTGAAGTAGAAACTTGATCAATGTTGTATTATACTGCGTGAAGTCTATTTCGTTTTCGTCCCTTGCCATAAGGAGTCCTCTATAAGTATAAAGTAAAAACAAAAAAAAAGATGTAATTTTGGTATATTAAAAAAAAGAAGCCTCAAGTATGACAAGTAAGATCGGTTGTTCAAATAAAGCAGAATAAACTATTAATTTCTTTGGTTTATGCCTAATTAGTTGTGTGTATGGATAGAAAGCACAAAATTATTTAATGAGACCGATCTATTTTTTTTCCGTAAAAAGAACGTTGCCCCACACTAGGATTTTCTCCTGTGTCGTGGGTTCGTTTACAAACATACAAGTTCACATACACATGACACCCAGACCCGAAACAACATCTATATGACAAAGTTTTGTTTTTATGTTGTTTGCATTGAAAAAGCTTCAAACTACTGAATCAAATAAATTTTACTATGGTAAACCATGTTTTAAGCGATAGACAACATAGACTTCTTCAATTTACCTACTTAATAAATTTGTTGGAAATTTCTAATAGATGAAACTGCAAGGAGATAAGTAGCTAACGATCTTAAACCAAAATCAAAATAATAAAAAGTTATTTATTCAATTGATATTAGGTTCAAAGATACAATAAACTCGTACACGATCTTGATACTTCTATTATTAGAGAGGACTTAATAATTCTATGAAACTGAGGGGGAGGGGAGAGCGGAAGGTATTTGATTGTTTGAGACGTATCCGTAGACGGTTCTAGGAGTTACGATGGGGAGGCTATTCATATTTTACGGTAGTTAAACTATTAATGGTTTATGAAGACTGGACTTAATACCTTTCTGGTTATGGTTCATAATAGGTTTGATCTAGTTCCTCGAGAAGATTTAATTTTTAATATAAAAGTTGTTTAATTGCTTGTTTTTTGGTTAATTGTAGAATACTTTATAGTTTGAGGTCTTGAGGTTGTACTTGGAAATTATATATTACTAGCTGTACTCGCAACTTCGTCTGCGTTTTTCTAAAATA